GTAGGTAGTACGAGGAGGGTGGGGGGGGGGGGGGTCGGGGAGGAGGACCGATTGGGTCCCGGTCGCCTCAAGACTCAAAGGGGACCGTCAAATTAGTAGACACTTGTTTTTTTGTTCATTTGTTAAATTTTAGTTGATTTATTTTTATTGTGGCTCCCAACTCAGACCAATGTGACACACACACACACACACACACACTTTCAGCTCAGAGCTGCAAGTCATATATACAAATGAATTATTCAAATTATATTTCAATTTTCTTTTGGGCCAATGATTGTCATATTTTGTTTACACGTGTTATTTTTTTTATTATTATAACCAGAGGCCTCAAAAGGCAGAAGTGGCCCAGGCCTCTCTGAATCTCCGAGAGGGCCTGGCTGGAACAGAAGCTCTGGGTAATAATCAATAAGTAATATTAGCATCGATAGTTCTGGAGCTCGCTATCAGCAGTTATCAATTACCTTACCTTTCTGTTCCTCTTCTTCGTTGCAAGTTAGGTTACCTGGTAGATCAGCGGGAAGTTCACGGATTTACAGCACTAAAATTCGTGATTCGATTCCCGGCGCTAGACACAGCTCAGAGAGCCCATTGTTTAGCTTTGCAATAAAATATAACAACAAGCATAATAGTTTTACTATCTGCTAAACAACGGCAAAGTAGTCGACCCTAAATTTGAACTAACGGGCTAGAGCAGTGGTTCTTAACCTTTTTTGCTCCATGCCCCACCTCGACACCTCAAACAATTTGATGCCCCCTTAATATAAAAACGAATTTGGTGTTGAAAAGGTATAATAATATAATGTAAAATTTAGAAATTTAGTTTTGAGTCACGGAACGTTTTTCGCTCTTGTTGTAGCATTTTCAAATTGCGCCCCACGTTCAGAATCACTGGTCTAGATGTAAGGCCGCTAGTTAACAGCATCCACCGCCAACTCTTAGGCTTCGTTTGTTTGACTTTATACCGAGATTTAACCGTTATTCGTATAGCGAGGTCATAATTCCAAACAACAGGGCGCATTTTGGACCAAGAGGACGAGAATCCTGAACCCTGAGATTTACATTCCGTCACGACATCTGATAGACTTGCACAAGTAGTTTTTGTGTAACTTTGTGCAAACTTCCGAAACAAAAACAAACGATCAACGTGGGGAAAGAAACTAACACTATCGTTTTCTCATTGGTTTAGTTGCTGTAGTTATACAGCACGAGAAGAAAAAGAAACAAAAATAATCAAACACAGCATTCAATTTCATATTTTGTTTAATAGTAGTCTCTCATCTGATCATTTAGCACATTGTGCTATACATAAGGTTTGTTCTCGTGAACAAACAAACTATTTTGTTTCGCAAGTTGTAAGAGCATACAAGTAGAGTAATTTAGTAAAGGCTTTTTCTTATCATCTTTTAACGACTTTTTTTCTACAAAGCCAAACGAATGTGAATAGTGTTATAAGCACTCTCTGGCTAAACGACCACGTCAGAGACCCCCTAGGGCTCAGATACAACCTTTCTCAACTTTGAACGACTATCCAGAGGGAGAACAAATAGCAAAAAAAAACAAAAAAAAACGGGTCGCCTTAAGCGATTTGCCCGAATTTGTTGAACAGCATTGCAGCGTGAGCCTCGGACATTCCGATATGCAGCCCGGTACGCTGACCACTAGACCACGCCAGGCCTACATACAAAAGCACTTTATATTTTAACCCTTTTTTTCCCAGTAGCTGCCATGAATACGATATTTTAGTGAAGACTTCCTTCTGAAGGATTTTATCATGCGACAAAATCCAGCATTTGATGCTGTAGGCATGCACCGTAATTCTCAACAATACCACAGGGTGGCATTGCTGTGGGTTTCAGTGCGTGTTCTTCTTTCTCAATAACATGTTCTTAATTCTGTTCTGTGGGCTTGACGTGTAATTGGAATCTTTGCTTACTCTCCATTTTAAAGGTGGTTTGGAATCTTTTCTTCGTTCATACTTAAAAAAATAATAATAATATTGTTCAAGTTCGAACATTTATTTTTTTCTGTTACATTCATGAGTAAAATTAGTAAGTGCTAAATAGAAATAGTATTTATAAACAAAGCAAGATGAAATATTGGAAACTATATGAAATATTACAAACAATGTGTAGTTTAAACCTTTCTGTCTGCTTTGCTTGTTTGATTATATCTTAACAACCTTGGGGTTTTTTTTTTCTTCTCTCATTTCCGTCATACTTCCTCTGCCTTCTTTTCTGTCCATTTTCCTTTCCGTTTCTCGTCTTCGAACTACCCGGCCGGGATCAAAGTGCAATATTCGACTGGACTTCGGTCCACAGGAACATCACTAAACTATGTAACATATAGTTTCTTTTCATCTTTTTATGTCATTAAACTCAGATGAGCAGGTTGAAGCTGAAACTGGAGTGAAAGATCTGTCTGTTAAAGGTAACGGTTTTCTTTTTTATTCCAATCACGTAACTGACTTACTGTCCCTCATTCAACACTATAATCGGCTGATGCAGGGCCTAATTATTGGGTGTGGGAAATGGGTGCAATTGCTCCGTGCCCTTGGGAACTAAGCTTCCCCCCTCTTCCAGACTAAGAGAAAAAAATTTTTTTTTTTTAATTCGTGGAAAACTGGATATCTTATGGAAAAACATGATTGAAATCACTATGACAACAGCGATTTTATATATAAATCTGTTATTTTGTGACGTTTCATTAACATGTTCTTATAGCTTGTTCTTCTATAGCTATTTGTTCGGCCATTTAACAAAAAAAAAATCGTTGTTGTTACTTTACATTTATTATAAATATTAGGATTAGTATTTTGTATATTATCTCCCCATCGTTTGTCTATTGCTCAAACTGTAGTTAACACATAACACTAAATTGCATTTCACTTACTTACAAAGCTCAGTTCTCAAGCCCACCCCCTTCTACAAAATTTGCCCCGAGCCCCCAAATTTTTTAATCCGGCTCCGTTTTGAAGCCCTTAAAAAAAAAATAGTTTCCGATTCCACCACGATATTGCTAATGACTTTTATGTAAAAAAATTAAAAAAAATTGATTTACAAACGACACGACAGAGTACAATTTGCACAATAAAAATTATGAAACCCGACTAATCACTCGAAACTGGTGCACGTTCCGAAGTTCATGTTTATTATAATGTATCTAATCGCTCGAAACTGGTGCACGTTCCGAAGTTCATGTTTATTATAATGCATCTAATCGCTCGAAACTGGTGCACGTTCCGAAGTTCATGTTTATTATAACGTATCTAATCGCTCGAAACTGGTGCACGTTCCGAAGTTCATGTTTATTATAATGTATCTAATCGCTCGAAACTCGTGCATGTTCCGAAGTTCATGTTTATTATAATGTATCTAATCGCTCGAAACTGGTGTAAGTTCTGACGTTCATGTTTATTATAATGTATCTAATAGCTAGGATTGGTATATATTCTGAAGTTAGTATTATTTCTAGTACATCTTTTCATCGTCAGATGTCGTGTTTTCACTATAGGAGGTCAGAGGACATGAAGATACTACCGCTACAAGTTTGATCTTCAGCACTCACATTAGGACATATCTGTCTTAAGAATATTCTAATACTTTCTCAACCAGTGTTTGTCGGTCAACAGATGTTTGAGGATTGTTTGTAACGTTACTCTCCTTTCAAATTTGTACTGGAAATAATAGTACTGGCCAGGTCTGGAGAAAGACTGGCTGACTGAGAGAAAGCAAGGCTTTGCTATTAATGTTGTCCATTCAAATTGGGCCTTTGTTATTAAATGAAGTGCCTCAGGGGGGGGTCAATGTTTGGGCCTTTTCTTATTTATATTAATGATATTGGTTGGTTGGTGTTTTATGGCACAAAGCACCTATGCTATCTGCACCAAACAACCGGTGAAAACAGAGTAAAATTGTTGTAAAACGTAAAAATGGTTGGTGTTTTATGGCACAAAGCAACTATGCTATCTGCACCAACAACTGGTGAAGACAGTTAGAGTAAAATTGTTGTAAAACGTAAAAAGAAATTGGCTACATGTCCAAAATTCAGATAAAAGATTTAAATAGAATTTCAAAGGTCAATTTTTCTTATAAAATTAAAAATAGAATCAAGTTGGACAGTGTCACCATCGCCAATGTCCAACGTCAGGGGTAAACTCTTACAAAACACGCGTCTGAAATGGTGCCGCTGCTCGCGGTCGTAACGACGACCCGACATTAAAATGTGGGCTATTGAGACTTGAGTGTCACAAAGGCTACATATTGGTGGGTCAATACCTGATAAAAGAAAACGATGGGTTAAAAAACTATGACCAATGTGTAGCCTTGCCAGGACTACTTCCTCCTTCCGATCCTTACGGAAACAAGATGGCCACAGAAGGTTTGATAGACGTATAAAGAATATAGTTTGTTGACAACATTAAACTGTTGAGTATTACTAGCTGTATTGTGATGTTAAGATACTATAGAACGGCTATGATCAATTGGTAAGTTGAACAAATGATCTTTAATAATGATAAGTGCAAGGTAAATCATTAGGGTTATCATAATTTGGATCACAAGCTGGGAATCTATTCAACAGTGTGGATGAGGAAAAGTATCTTGGCAAAGTTGTGAATAAGTTACTGAAATGTTCTGAAGTTAATAGTGAACTTTTAGACAACGATTACAAGTCAACGAGGTAATTATTTCTACACAAATAAAGCTCTCACTTTTGTTTTCTTATCTAATAAAGGATAACGACGTATTGGAAAGGGTTCAAAAGAGAATTATTAGGATGATTCTAGTATTCAAAGATCTATCTTATGGGATAGAGCAAGACTGCTTAGTTGACTTCATCTTGACCTTATAAAGATTTGCAAGGTTATCCGAGGAAATCGTAGATTCGATTGTTTCGGATAGTCTTGTAAAGCTACAAAGGCCACCGGCTCTAGCCATTCCCGATTCTGGACTGATAGACAAGAGGGAAGGCAGTTCGTTAGCAGAACGCAGGGCCACTTTGGCCTAACCTAATCGTCACTCTTGTAACGCATCCAATGATTCATAGTGTGGAGGGAAAGCGACAACGGGACGCAAACCGTGGGCCCTCAGATTCACAGTATGGCACACTAACGCTAGGCCACACCCGAACTGGGATTGGTAGGATAAAAACTTCTCATTTCTTCGTGCTGTAGGAAAGGACACAATCTTAAGATTTGGAAAAGATCCTATGCCCCAGTTAAGGCAGTTGCATTTTTCTAACGAACTGATTGGCTTATGGAATAAGTTGTTGTCGGCAGTAGTGGAGGCCGGCTCTTTACGAGAATTTAAGGGTGGGATCGATGATTTTCTGGAAAAATGAGGCTGGGTTTAATTTCTTACTTCAGGGGTGGGTGTGCAAGGACAGCCTTGAAGGACCAACTGGTCTCTTGTTTTCTGTATGTTGTTATATGAAGGAAAATTACTTCAATAATAGTGTTTTACTACGATTTAACTGGAAGGTTATCTAACCCTAGGAAAAAACTTTAAATTAAGAAGACTGAGAATAACAACTAACATATGGCTTAGAGAGAAATGTAATTATTATTGTATAATCTTACTTTCGTATTAGCTTTTTCAGTTGTTAAAAATATTACAAAGGAAAACAGTGTAACGTCGTTTTCCTTTTTCTGGACATCAAAGAAACTAAGATCCCAAATATTGAAAATTGCGAGTTTTACAGTGTAGTAACGGTTTCGGAAATTCCAGAAAGTTCACAGATGAAACGGATCGTGATAGCGTCAGATCATCAGATCGTGGGTTGTTTTATTTATTTTTTAATTGGCATTATATACAGCCATAGTTGATTCAGATCGTCATGACATCAAGCCCAGTCTTTTTTTTTTTTTTTTTTTTTTTATTGTTTATCGCCATACATCTAATCACCATGGCATCAGATTGCCTTTTTTTTTTTTAAATATATATATATATTAGCAATCATGATGACTTAATATGTCGCCATTTCATATTTTAGTTATTTGGCTCGAAGTCGTGGAAGAAAGCCAATTATTATTGTTTCGTCACTTCCCTTAAAGTGCGTGTGGCTCACAAACATTTGTCTAAAGTTTCCCTTTCGCTTAAATGTCATATTTACAAAACACGCCATTATAGAGTAAACCCTCTTATATTAAGCCTAATGTTACAGAAATACTTATTTTATCTCTTACTAAAGTTCGAAAGACCACAAATCTCTTTTTTTTTTTTACATCTCAATAAGAATAGTCAACTATTCCAATCAGCTCGCGTTTCCGGGTCTTTTGAAATCTACTTGTTTTGTTTTCTTGGTGACCCTTTGTAGTAATTCTTTCAGAAATTTGGTGATATGAATTCATCAAATCAAGTCTTTTGTTAAAATGAGTCCATGGAAAGTCAGGTGGGATTGCAAATAATGAATTAACTTACTACAGTTCTAGCACTCGTGCTATAAAAGAATCAATACCTTAAACACATTACTATTGTTGTTTACTTGAAAATGGATCGTTTTCGCGCTTTGTGGGATTTTCAGTTAATATGTATAAATTTATTGCTTCTCTGCTTTTATTAAACGTATTCTTTAAAAAAATATTTTAAGTAAACATTTGTTACTCGTCTTAAGAAGTCTAACAATTTGAAAATAAAGGTATTGTTCTAAAGGTAAAAAAAAAAGTGCCGACTAAAACTGCAACTAGGTTTAAAATCATACCGCATAACAATGATTGTTTTGGTTTTGATATCAAGAAAGCAGCCACGAGATTAGGCCTTGGAAAGATCCACATCATCCTGTAGAACAACCCGAAACAAAAACTTCGTATCCAAGTCCTAAGGAAGAAGGTAAGATCATACGGAATATCCGTTTAACATAGTTGCCAGGACAACTGTTTTGGTAGAATTTTGGTTATAAATTGAGAGAGAGAAATAGAAATGAAGAAAACAAATTATTAAAGTTGTTTTAAAAAATTCACTGTCTGACAGATTGGAAAATAGTGATACTCATAAACTAAGTTTTTTTTTCACTAATTATATTTTGGTTAACGATTTGGTTATATTTCTAAAAGTTACTTTTGTAAAGCAGTTGCTAGAAAGTTTCTTTTCAGGAGATACTCGATTGAAAATACCACCGGAGCTGTCTTTCTTTTTCACAGACACACACAAACAACTGAATAACGAGGGTTCGATAAAGTTATTAAGATATTAATACACAACATTTGTTTTTAACAAGGCTTGATGAATAATATCCCTCATCAGAAACCGTGGGATAGACCAATTTTGCTGAATATCCTCCCTCTCTCTCATGACGAGAAAACCCTCGTCTAAACTGATATTAGGGAACACCGCTTTTTAACAGAAAACCTAATAAACTGATTTTAAGGAATGCCATTCCCTCAATGTCCTACGTTAGGACACTTTTTTAGAGCAATCTTTTCACGTCAGAAACTGGGCTAGGCTTAAGCGACAGTAGTTGATGAAATCATATTTTATGCAGTGTTATGTAACTAAATATAAGAAAAATATACAGGAAATACCATCAACATTTTTTTAGAAATACTATTTAAATTTCGGTACTACTCTTTGAGCGTTGGTACTGCCCTCATATCTATACGTTATCCTTTTTATGTTATTGTGGCTGTAGAACTTCAAGATTGTCGAAGCGCCCGGAAGAGGGCGCAGGAAAACCTTGATAATACCTACATTCCTAGATGCAAGAAACGAAATGGCCTGTACAAAGACATCCAGTGTTTCAATCCAAAAAACAAGCCGGTAACATGTTGGTGTGTTAGCCCTAAAAATGGAAAACCAGTCCCCAGGACAACAACTCACGGTGGTCGGCCACCCTGTAAGAAGATGAAAAAAATGGCTAAAATATTTAAAGGTGGGAAGTTACAAGTTTCGTAGGTATTAGTCATTCTTAATTATTATTATTATCATCATTATAGTAAGAAGTCAAAATATGTTAATGTAATTATTATAATCAAGAATGTATATACTTACGAAGAAGCTCAATAGATCAACATGTTACTAAAAGTAAAAAGAGGCACACATTCTTGATCTAATTATGAAAGAGAGTTTTACATGAACATATTTTTGGCGTTTATATAGGTGGAATACGTAATGGTTTGGTAATAAACAGAGTCTTCTTACTAATGGTGTTCATGTGGTTCTAGTTGTTTCCAATACTGACCAGAGATTCATATTATTGATGTGAAGATTACACTTTTCTAATATTCGTTAACAAAAGTAATCAATGACAACGTTATTGTTTCTGCAAGAGTAGCTTTCTTTTTGTACTTCCTTTCTTCACACAGCAGAGATGAGGAAGCGACTTATCGTTGTAGGATAATACGAGTTTTACTTCCTTTCTTCACACAGCAGAGATGAGGAAGCGACTTATCGTTGTAGGATAATACGAGTTTTACTTCCTTTCTTCACACAGCAGAGATGAGGAAGCGACTTATCGTTGTAGGATAATTGTTAGTGTAGCATATCATATGTAGATGAAGACAATAAATCTAAGCACTTGTGGATAATGCTTTGTATTTGCTTGTAAGGTGACACCATAGATGTGTCACACTATATTAAAATACGTATAGAACGTTACCTCACTAGTATGAAGGCATAGTTTGGTCTGATATTTCATTGGTGGTAATGTCACTGATGAGGAGTGGAATTCTCCGAAACTAGTCTGGCTCATAGAAACACACCCCAATGAAAGAATAGACCATTCCAAGCTTTAACTTGTTAAACAAATGTTTAAACAACTCTAATTATTCAATTACGTATAGAACTTCTTGGATACGAGTCCGTAGAGAAGCATTATAAGTTTGTTTAGCCTTTGTTCTTATTTTAACACTAAAACTTAATTGAATTTAAAAGATACGTGCCATTTTGTTTTCGAAACTTACAAAACCAGAGTTTCTATGTTCTTTACCTGGAAGAACATGGGTTTATTAGTAATAATTGTTATTCATGTAGACGTGAATACATTGTAAACTCAGTACAAGAAGAATTTGTAAAGGATAGATTAACTCTGCAGTGTGATGACAAAACTTTGAACCAGGTCTGTGTGACGGACAGATAAACAATAACCTAGTCATATAACTCCCGAATTTTTATTTTTTTTCAGGGTGTCAAATTAGAAAGAAGCAAATATTTTTGACACAGTTTATTGAATTTATTACTGACGAAATGTTGGATTCTACAAAAAACGTGTCACTGAGGTGAGTAATTAAAGATGAATCAATAATTTGAGTCAATTTAATAAGAAACGAGTCAGGGTGAATCAGATTAATAAAATAACGAGCCACTAAGGTGAATAATTAAGAATAAACGAGTCAGTTTAATAAGAAGTCACTCACAAAATGAGTGAGTAATAAGAAACGAGTCAAAGTGAATCCGGTTAACAAGTCACTAAGCTAAGTCGAATTAATAAAGAAATTTTATAACTTTAATATGGTAAACTCATATTATCAAATATCATTGTAGCCACAGACATATTTAACATTCTAAAATGATAAATACTTACCAAGTTGTTTTATTGAGGACAGTTGTAGTAACAAACGCACCTTCAGTGTAGAAGGTAAATAGGATGAGCACATAAACTCGTTTTATTGAGGACAGTTGTAGTAACAAACGCACCTTCAGTGTAGAAGGTTGATAGGATGAGCACGTAAACTCGTTTTATCAAAGACAGTTGTAGTAACAAACGCACCATCAGTGTAGAAGGTCAATATGGTGAGTATATAAACCCGTTTTATGAAGGACAGTTGTAGTAACAAACGCATCTTCAATGAAGAAGGTTGATAGGATGAGCATATAAACTCGTTTTATGAAGGACAGTTGTAGTAACAAATGCACCTTCAATGAAGAAGGTCAATAGGGTGAATATATAAACCCGTTTTATGAAGGACAGTTGTAGTAACAAATGCACCTTCAGTGTAGAAGGTTGATAGGGTGAGTATATAAACCCGTTTTATCAAAGACAGTTGTAGTAACAAACGCACCTTCAGTGTAGAAGGTTGATAGGGTGAGTATATAAACCAGTTTTATCAAAGACAGTTGTAGTAACAAACGCACCTTCAGTGTAGAAGGTTGATAGGATGAGTATATAAACCCGTTTATCAAAGACAGTTGTAGTAACAAACGCACCTTCAGTGTAGAAGGTCAATATGGTGAGTATATAAACCCGTTTTATGAATGACAGTTGTAGTAACAAACGCACCTTCAGTGTAGAAGGTCGATAGGGTGAGTATATAAACCCGTTTTATGAATGACAGTTGTAGTAACAAACGCACCTTCGGTGTAGAAGGTCGATAGGGTGAGTATATAAACCCGTTTTATCAAAGACAGTTGTAGTAACAAACGCACCTTCAGTGTAGAAGGTCAATATGGTGAGTATATAAACCCGTTTTATGAATGACAGTTGTAGTAACAAACGCACCTTCAGTGTAGAAGGTTGATAGGATGAGCATATAAACCAGTTTTATGAAGGACAGTTGTAGTAACAAACGCACCTTCAGTGTAGAAGGTTGATAGGATGAGCATATAAACCAGTTTTATCAAAGACAGTTGTAGTAACAAACGCACCTTCAGTGTAGAAGGTTGATAGGGTGAGCATATAAACCCGTTTTATCAAAGACAGTTGTAGTAACAAACGCACCTTCAGTGTAGAAGGTTGATAGGGTGAGTATATAAACCCGTTTTATCAAAAACAGTTGTAGTAACAAACGCACCTTCAATGAAGAAGGTTGATAGGGTGAGTATATAAACCCGTTTTGTCGTCTAATAAAAGATTTTCTGAATCACAGCAAACCCATGAAGATATACATGACTTTTCACTACACTTTGAAACGGATCGTAACCTTGGAAACGATTTTTTATATACATACACACACACACACACACACACACACACTGTAGTCTTTTAACTGATTAAAGTTCAACGCTATCTATAGTTAATAAATGGCCTTTGCCGTTTTTAACTGTCTGATCTAAAATTATTTTAGGCTTAAATTTTCATCACACATTTAGTGTATTCAACGCAAAGTGTTGAAAAATAATTTTAAAAAGCGGGACAAAAATATATATTGTTGAAAGTTTCTGTTGTTATATTGAACTAAAGAGGCAACAATAATGTATCCACGTTGTAAGAAAACAAAAATCCCTTGAAACACATTTGTTAATCATACAGATATAATTTTTGGATGTATAATTTATAACCTGTCGTCAGAATGTGACGTCATGATGTAGTTTATACTTCGATATAAGAGCCTCTAGCACCAATTAAATCTTACTTGATTAAGATCAGATAATAAATCTTGATATTTTAGGCTTAATATTTTGGACGTAGAACAAGTCTTTTCGTTTTTACAAATACGTGCAAGGATGTTCTTATTTAGCTCTTTGATTAATGTTCTGAAAGGCTTTTCATGCCGATCTGTACAACTTAAGACTTCATGAAAATAATTTTCTTAAAAGCATTGGACTGGAAATCTTTAAAGTAATGTATTCTGTTGCTAGTAATAATGGGAAAACAACAGATTTATAGTTAACCAAGCTCGGATAGTGTTACGGTAAGTTAAGGTACAGAACGTTGAAATGAATCGTGGTGTTATAACAGAAACTTTGAATAATGTTTCATTATACATTGGAGGGACGTCAATCTCTGATGTAGTGAGTCATGCTAAATCATATGACTCACTAAAGAGTTTGAATACTACCTTATCACAAACCTTTGTCTAAACTATTATACAGCAAGTCATGCTACGTAACATGTAGTACTATATAACAGCACTATTTCAACTCTTGCTAGGCGTTGCCGATATGTGATGAGCCTTAGGATCAAGCCCTGTTTGGTGGACTATTTTGTTATATTCTCAGGATCAAGTCTTGTTTAACGTGTCTTGCTCTTATATCGTGAAGTTATATTTTACATAAATAGTAATAGGTTAGGTAAATTTTGAATTATGGCACTTGTTTAAGTCACCGATGCTCACTAAATGGTTCTATTTTTCCTGGTTCTAGCACGACAGGTAGACCAACCAGACTGCAAGCAGCAAGGTGGAAGTTCAACCAGTTGGATCTAAGTAACAATCAGGTTCGAATCAACCAAAAATCAGTAACATTGTGTGTTTTCAAAATATATGTCCAGCTTATTTAGAAGAAGTTAGATAAACTGAAAGTCAATTACGCTATTTCTATATTATTCAAAAGTAAAGTGTCCTCCTTCAAAAAATTACCCATTATCCCCCCCCCACACACACACACACACACACTTACGTGCCGATTAAACCTCACTTATACTATAAACAAGATAAATAAAAAAATTAGGACTAAAACCTGCAAATAGGGATACGTAAAAAAAGTTAGGAAACAAGGATGGAGATTACAAACGAGCCGTTTTGAGCGGATTTTATTTTCTTCGTAAGTCTAACATGTGTGCTTTATGTGCATTTTTTTATTTTTTTAATTAATATACACATTAATTAATAATTTAATTAATATATACACATATATATATACACACACATATAATTTACTATTGACTGCTAGGGCTACACACACACACACACACACACACACACATTTGACTATTTTGACCATGGCTGATGTACGTATTGGAATATATAATTATAAGACTAGTTTCAGCCTTAGGCCTATATCAGGTGACAGTTAATCGAATATTTATTACATTCTAGAAAAGAAAGTTCTTATCTTTCAATAATGCACGAGACAATTACCAAGTGCTATAAAAATAAAAACAATACTAACGCTAATTAGCAATAATACTAGAGTTGTTTTGAAACGTTAATCGTATCAAGTTAAAAGATGAATCCTGTTTAATCGGAAATAAACACAAAGAAAAACATTGTTGTTGAAAACTCATCCACAGTTTAAGTTAGTTTCATCATAAATGTTGGACAATGTATTATTTATATACATCACGTAGTAATTACGAGTTATTGAATTTCAAAAACTTTATTTTTCAATAATGAAACAATTCATTTGTTTGGTTTTGATATATAGTCCTTTACTCAACACTAATAACAAAATATTTTAGGTGTTTGGATAACACGTGACATCACAATTATCCATTATTATTCAGCAGATAATCTGGTTACTTTATTTTTTTTTTTTTTCTTATTTTGCTTTCTTCGCCAAAACGTGAATTTCGGTGAAGAAAAGATAAAAATGAGGCCTAATACGTTAGTCTGTGGATTAGCCCTTACGCCCACCCCCCACCCCCATTGACTCAGTGCTAACTCAATGGGCCTATAACGCTCTAAATCGGGTTTCGATACCCGCGGTTGGCAGAGCACATATTGGTTTGGTTTGAATTTCACACAAAGGCTACACGAGGGCTATCTGCGCTAGCCGTTCATCTTTTAGCAGTGCAAGACTAGAGGGAAGGCATCTAGTCATCACCAGCTCTTGGACTACTCTTTTACCAACGAATAGTGGGATTGACCGTCACATCATAACGCCCCACGGCTGAAAGGGCTAGTATGTTTGGTGGGACGGGGATTCGAACCCGCGACCCACAGCTAGCGAGTTGAGCGTCCTAACCACAACGTGATGCTAGGCCTATAGCAGTAGCCCTACTTTTCAGTACTCTTATTATATACACTAATTGTGAATGCTTGAAGTTTTTCTTGTCTCTCAACTTACGCTCAGCTTTTTTAAACCTTTTTTTTTTTGTATCAATCATTTATCATGTCTGCGCAAGGAACGTGATGTCTAATAGATAAGATCTCCCGGAAGTTCCAGTGGTAAGCCAATAGAGTAAACATAAAAAAGTGTGGAATTGTAGACATATCCACAGGTAGTTTCAAAACAAGTTCCCTCTTCGTTTTAAAATGGTTTCCCTGCTTCAAGGCATTTGTAGTACACCTGGCTTGGCTCAGTTTTATGTTATTGGTCGATAATACATACATACACACACACATTTATTTCCCCCAACTTGATTTAAATACACGATAAAATATACACAAGATTTAAAGTACCAAGATCGTGTGTTATTTTTCATATTCGTCCTTTTTAGCGTCTGTCATCTTCCCTTTAAAGAACAGTTGAGTGGCTCTATCTATTGGCCAAAAGGAGAAAAAGGATTGGAATATTTGAAATAATTTATAAATCGCCGATCTACTTAAAATTCTTTTTGAATACAGCTGTGACTTATCACTATTCATCTAAAATGTGAACTTAAAGCTTTTGTTGTTTTATTTTTCTGGTTCTGTTAATTTTGGTTCTGGCTATTGCTTTCAATACAAACCTCGATTCTCCCCTACGCAAGTGGCGACATTTAACATACAAATACAGTTTTCATTTTTTATCAGATGATAGACAGGAAAGAAAAGGAAGAAAGGGGATTTAAAAGTCAATGGAAATTTTTCCGGAAGTCTCGTGCAGCTCATAAGGGACTGAAGAAATGCTGGCGTAATTTCTTGAGATTTTGTGACAAATTTGGAAACAACGACAGAAAAATTTCAATGTCAGAATGGTTGGATTGTACAGAAACAAAAAAAGGTTTGAATATTATGAATTTGTTGTGTGTGTGGGCACGAATAAGAATCGGAAAAAAAATGTATTTAAGAGCTTGGATTACACTTTTAAAGTGCCTTTCTCTTGTTAAGTTTTAATAAACTAAACAGGATCCATATAGAAAGCTACAAGTAATAGATTGTATTGAAGAGTAATATTTTCCAGAATTGTAATTTTCACGGAAACGCCACCTATGGACAAAACGGCTAGGTAAGAGACTTTTATGGTTCAGGTTTGTTTCGGATATCCGCGCAAAACTACACATTGTATAACTGTGCTAGAGGTCCATAATTTTGAACTGATATACTAGAGGGGAAGTAGCTTGTTAACAGCACCCACCGCTAACTTTGAACTACTCGAATCGAATAGTGGAATATGACTGTCAAACTTTTTACGCGTCGACAGCTTCAAAGTGCGAATCATGAACCCTCGAATTCACAGTCGGGCACGCTAACCATTAGGCCACGCTCAGCCCAAAGGGTTCAAGAACAATTGTCCGTACTTTTTTTTTTTTTTAATTATTGACCTGTTAGTAGTACTCCTGTCACAAGAGTTTAGTGTGGTACATTAGACTAAATAATGGGACTGTCTGCCACCTTTATAACGCGTCTATGGCTGAAAGTGCAAAACGTGTTTAGTAGGATCACAGTCCAAGAACTAGAATCCAAAGTGACAATTTTAAAGACGTACTGACCTTCACTAGCAAGGGCATGACGGGTAGGAGGGCCTCCCATTTCTCTAGTAACAGGTCGAGAGTGGCGAATTGGTTAATATGTCGGACTGCAAATCTAAAAGTCCAAGATGCCATTAAACACGTACAGATGTGGACGTATGATATAGTACTAAGTCATTTATTCGGCTGAAAGAGACAGACAAGTTCCTTCTGGTAGCAGGTTCTGCTTTCGCTCTATCCGAATCCTAGGAGTCTCTGGGTGGTTTATTATCGTTGGTTCATCTGGGATTTACTCACCATAGCTATCGATACCAGAGTTGTAAATCTGCAGAGTCACTGGGGAGCGGGGGCATTTCACCTGTACGTTTCGTCCATGTGGCACATAAGGCGCCGTTCAGATATATATATATATATATATATATATATATATATATATATATATATATATTTAGTTAGTAGTAGTATGTTAGTATATACTAACGTAATAATAAACTATATAACTACTACTACTACTA